GGAACCTAACCCATGTCAATTCTGTAACTTTTCTGAAAAGCGTTTTCTGCAAATTTCTCGATTAGGTTAAGTTAGGTTTTGTTGTCCTCTGTCGATAAAAAAAAAATAAATTATAATAGATCACAACGGAAAAACTGAAAATATAATTATTATTATTATTACATATTCTTATCACTGGGGAGCGCTAAACTGAAAGGGATTATACAGAGCCTGGGGGAGGGGATGGAAGGCATTCAGACTTAATTCAGGGAAGAGGAGCACAGATCCAATTCCCTAGACAAAGAGTCTCTCACCAACGTCAGAGAACCTCCCTTGAGGGGCTTGTAAATATAAGATGTCTTCTAAAAGATCTAACGGGAGAACAGTAAGCGCGCAGCCTTCACCAGTCTTCCATTTGACTGTCTTTACCAAGAAGCGTCAAATGCTGTCTGTGATCAAGAGGACAGACTGTGGGACCAGACTCTGGAGGGATGACGATGTTGGTGCTATACCACGCACTCGCTTCTCCCATCACCACCACGTCTCCACACACACACACACACACACACACACACACACACACACACGGGCTCCAAGAAGTCGAAGGGGAAAACCTACGACGAAAGAAACTAGGAGGAGAAGAAAGCAATCAAAGGTATCATGAAAGCAATAGGTGAGGGAGACATGACCCAGGTGACAAATTTTCGGAGAATTGGGTAGTTTACGAGTGGAAAGAAACTGCCGGTCAAAGTAATTTTCAAGGCAGGATCAGCTCGAACCAAGATCCTGCAGGAGAAAGCACGGCTGAGGGACAATCCAGAGTACCGGAGTGTGTACCTCGATCACAACAGAACACAAGAAGAAAGGATGATACTGAGACAGAGGGTGCAAAGACGAAAGGAGGAACGAGATGCATTCATGAAGATGAGCAGAACCTAGACTCAGGTGGAAGGGCAAACACACCTTACAGAAGCACCCGCAGAAGGATTCCAACCACGAAAACCCCAAAGCAACTGACCAATCTAAACCAAAACCCACACACTGTTCCCTCTGCCCCCACCCCCCACATCACAAACTCCACCCCTACAGCAGCCCCCTAAGGGCACTCTGCTCCCCATCATAAACCCCACCCAAACAGCGACAACCCCAATGCAACTGAACAATCCAAGCCAAAACCCACACACTGTTCCCTTTCCCCCCACCCCCATTACAAACCCCACCCCTACAGCAGCTCCCCATGGGCACTCTGCCCTCACCCCCCCTTCACAAACCCCACCCACACTGCAAACCCCCATAGGCCCCCTCCAGGGCTCCCACACCCCCAACCCCAATATTTTCCCAGGACCACCGTGATAGATAAGAAGTTGAAAGTGTGGTACACGGACACAGATGGATTATCAAATAAATACGAGGAGTGGCATGAAAGAATCAATGAGAAGTCCCCAGATATCATAGCAGTCACAGAAACGAAACTCAATGAGAAAATAACAGACGCAGTCTTCCCACCGGGATATTAGATCCTGAGGAAAGACAGAAGGAGCAGAGGGGGAGGAGGGGTTGCACTACTTCATAAGAAGCCGATGGGGTTTTGAGGAAACGGAAGGCGTGGGCGAGATTGGAGAAAGGGATTACATAGTAGCTACAATTCAGTCTGGGGAACATAAGGTAGTCATTGCAGTGATGTATAACCCACCACAGAACTGCAGGAGGCCAAGAGATGAATATGAAGAGAACAACAGAGCGATGGTGGACACACTGGCTGAGGTGGCACGAAGAGCTCAATCGTGCAGAGCAAAGTTACTGGTTATGGGTGATTTTAATCATAGGGAGATCGACTGGGAAAACCTGGAGCCTCACGGGGGTCCTGACACATGGAGAGCCAAGACGATGGATGTGGTACTGGAAAACCTCATGCATCAACACGTCAGGGACACTACCAGAGAGGGAAGGATGAACCAGCAAGACTGGACCTTGTGTTTACCCTGAGCAGTTCAGACATTGGGGACATCACATATGAGAGGCCCTTTGGAGTTAGCGATCACGTGGTTCTGAGTTTTGATTACATAGTAGAGCTGCAATTAGAGAGGGTAACAGGAGTCGATTGGGAAAAGCCAAACCATAAAAGGGGGGACTACACAGGTATGAGGAACTTCCTGCGGGAGGCTCAGTGGGACAGACAGCTGGTAGGAAAGTCAATGAACGAAATGATGGAATATGTAACAACAAAATGCAAGGAGGCAGAGAAAAGGTTTGTTCCCAAAGACAACAGAATTAATGGGAAGACCAAAGTGAGTCCTTGGTTTACCCGAAGGTGTAGGGAGGCAAAAACTAAGTGCATTAAAGAATGGAAGAGGTACAGAAGGCAAAGGACCCAGGAAAATAAGGAGATCAGTCGAAGAGCCAGAAACGAGTATGGACAGATAAGAAGGGAGGCCCAGCGACAGTATGAAAACGACATAACATCAAAAGTCAAGTCTGACCTGAAACTGCTGTATAGCCACATTAGGAGAAAGACAACAGTCAAAGATCAGGTGATCAGGCTGAGGAAAGAAGGTGGAGAACTCACACGAAACGATCAAGAGGTATGTGAGGAGGTCAACAAGAGATTTAAGGAAGTATTCACAGTGGAGACAGGAAGGACTCTGGGAAGACAGGACAGAGGGTGACACCAACAAGGAATACACCAACAAGTGCTGGATGACATACACACAACTGAGGACGAGGTGAAGAAGCTGCTAAGTGACCTTGATACCTCAAAGGCAATGGGACCGGACAACATCTTCTCGTGGGTCCTTAGAGAGGGAGCAGAAATGCTGTGTGTCCCATTAAACACAATCTTCAACACATCCCTTGAAACTGGGCAACTACCTGAGGTATGGAAGACGGCAAATGTAGTTCCAATTTTTAAAAAAGGAGACAGGAAAGAGGCGCTAAACTACAGACCGGTGTCACTGACGTGTATAGTATGCAAAGTCATGGAGAAGATTATCAGGAGGAGAGTGGTGGAGCACCTGGAATGGAACAAAAGTATAAATGACAACTAGCACGGTTTCATGGAAGGCAAATCCTGTGTCACAAACCTTCTAGAGTTTTATAATAAAGTAACATAAGTAAGACACGAGAGAAAGGGGTGGGTTGATTGCATCTTCTTGGACTGCAAGAAGGCCTTCAACACAGTTCCTCACAAGAGATTAGTGCAGAAACTGGAGGATCAGGCGCGTATAGCGGGAAGGGCACTGTAATGGATCAGAGAATACCTGACAGGGAAGCAACAACGAGTCATGGTACGTGATGAGGTATCACAGTGGGCACCTGTGACGAGCGGGGTCCCACAGGGGTCGGTCCTAGGACCAGTGCTATGTTTGGTATATGTGAATGACATGATGGAAGGTATAGACTCAGAGGTGTCCCTGTTCGCAGATGATATGAAGTTAATGAAGAGAATTAAATCAGATGAGGATCAGGCAGGACTTCAAAGAGACCTGGACAGGCTGGACACCTGGTCCAGCAACTGGCTTCTCGAATTCAACCCTGCCAAATGCAAAGTCATGAAGATCGGAGAAGGGCAAAGAAGACCGCAAATAGAGTATAGGCTAGATGGCCAACGACTCCAAACCTCGCTCAAGGAGAAATATCTTGGCGTGAGCAAACAGAGTATAGACTAGGTAGCCAACGACTGCAACCCTCGCTCAAGGAGAAAGATCTTGGCGTGAGTATAACACTGAACACGTCTCCGGAAGCACACATCAACCAGATAACTGATGCAGCATACTGGCGCCTGGCAAACCTGAGATTAGCATTCCGATACCTAAGTAAGGCATCTTTCAAGACACTACACGGTGTACGTCAGGCCCATACTGGAGTATGCAGCACCAGTTTGGAACCCGCACCGGGTCAAGCACGTTAAGAAATTAGAGAAAGTGCAAAGGGTTGTGACAAGGTTAGTTCCAGAGCTAAGGGGAATGTCCTATGAAGAAAGGTTGAGGGAAATCGGCCTGACGACACTGGAGGACAGGAGGGATAGGGAAGACATGATAATGACATACAAAATACTGCGTGGAATAAACAAGGTGGACAGAGACAAGATGTTCCGGAGAGGGGACACAGAAACAAGGGGTCACTCTTGGAAGTTGAAGACTCAGATGAGTCACAGGGATGTTAGGAAGCAGCTCTTCAGTCATAGAGTGGTCAGGAAGTGGAACAGTCTGGCGAGCGATGTAGTGGAGGCAGGAACCATACATAGCTTTAAGACGAGGTATGATAAAGCTCATGGAGGAGGGAGAGAGAGGACCTAGTAGCATTCAGTGAAGAGGCGGGGCCAGGAGCTGAGTCTCGACCCTTGCAACTACAATTAGGTGAGTACACACACACACACACACACACACACACACACACCATTGCTCTGTCTTGCAAGACAAATCTTATTCCATGTGAACCAAGTGGCGCTGATCGTCCGAATTTCAAGTTTAGGAATTTCTTCATCATATAAAACTATTTTACTTTACTGTTATTATTATTATTATTATTATTATTATTTATTCGGATGTTCTAAGGCCGTTATGGGTCATACGACTCTTGGGGAGTGAGAGGAAATCAGGTTTGATCCAAGGGAGGCTGCTATCTTAAATCCATTGGATCAAGAACCCTTCAACAGCATCAACAAAGTCCTCTACAAAACTCGCTAATACCGCAGTGTTAGGTAGGGATTCAAGGTTCACTATCTTGAGTGAGAGAGAGAGAGAGAGAGAGAGAGAGAGAGAGAGAGAGAGGGAAGAGCACACAGAAGCTCACAAATAAATATAGTGAGAGCTGAAGATTATTACATTCAGGGGAAAAAGAGCTAAATCCTTAAGGGTCATACGCTGCTTAGAGGACTGGAAATCCATCTGGTTCGATCAAAGGAAGGAAAGATCAGGTAAAATTCCTTCTTGGATCAAGAACCCCTTACCGGCATTAAGGAACCTATCTTGGCACTGATGAGTTGAAGAAAGAAAAAAAAACGTAGATAAGAAAGGTCTTACCTGTCTATGGGTGAGGATGGACTGGCACAGGGGCTGCCCACGAGGCTGGAGGAGCCTCGCCTGCTGGAGGAGCCCTGGGTCACCGTCAGAAACCCGTGGGCAACCAGCCATTTGTTGACGGCGCTCAGCTCCGCCTTCCTCACGAAGTAGTCTGCTGCGAGCTCTGGGTGTTGGTCCAGCCACTCCTCTACAGCCCCGAAGCTTAGGCTGGTCATGCTGCGCGAGGCTCTGCTGCAGTGGAGCGCACACGCACTCTTGCAGACGCTACCACTTTCCTCTGATATAAGACATGTCCCCGGGGATCAAAAAAATCTTTTAACTGTGTCCTTCAGAGCATAAGCTTTCACCGAAGTCCACCATCGCTGATGTCTCTTATTGCAAGAGCGCTTCCAATCACCAATCTTAGTGAGCTTCGATTACTTCAGACATGTTCTTTGGAATCAAAAAAAAAGTTTTACGTTTATTTTCAGAAGACAAAAGTTTGAATGGCTTTATTATGCGTTCAATATCCATTTCATGGACATTATCAAAGTACAGTCTTATTCAACTTTGTTCTGATCTCGTTGTACTTTGAGTTTTCTTTTTTCAGTAGCTGAAAAATCTTTCAGAGAAGAAGATAGAGCTAAAGAGTGTTGCTGTCATGTAGTGAGGTGGTAATGACCACTTATCACACTCGCACGAGTCAACACCTCAACACTACAACCCAAGGGACGCTCAGTTGTCTTTAGCAGTCGCCCTCAGCAGGTCATCTGTGGGTGACAGCTTCGAGGGCGTCTGCGAAATGGTTGTCGTCGGTGTGCAGGTAGCAGAGCATAATGGGTGGATCTGTTGGTGTGCGGAAAATAAAATATTTATCTGTGGGCGTGAGGGCGCCCTCCCAGCAAAACCATGACACACATCCACGCCTCCCATCCACCCTTTCAAGTGTTCCCTCCCCCACACACTGTCAATATTCCCTAAGAATCATCTTGGACTTCATCGGGCTATGTAATAATATCCTAAGAACACTGAAGTTCGCCAGAAATGAATAATTGTTTTTCAGCGTCGTAGGGCCAACAGTGAGGATAGACTGAAATTGATTTAATTCTTCGGTTTGTCTTGGTACTTAAGGTGTCTAAATTCTTGACGAATTAAGTATCGGCTACATCTGTCTTGGGCCACCGAGATCCTTCCTTAGTCAGAAAACATTAGCTATTAAGATTATCCTCTAAGATATGTGGAAACAAGTAGAGTTCCTCGACCATTTATGTGACAACCTGTCACGTCTTCAACCAGTCTACACTTATCGAGTTCCAACAGCAATCCTTATTCCGCCCACAGTCTTGAAACCAGTTGCTGGTACACCATCCACACCTCCGCTGGGCGTCCCCAGCAGCAGTGGCCGTTTCCCGACACACCTGAAACAGGAAAAATACAAGATTACAAACAAGTTCGAAGGCTACAAGTACAACACACATATATACACACTTGATACTTTTTAATATGGTGGAGACCAAGGACCAGTGTGGATGCTTAATCACCAAGACTAAACCCAGCATTAGGATTATTATTAATAAGTGAGACACTTCTGCATAGCTGGAGGTAACTCCAGGTATCAACATATCTCCATAGCTGGAGGTAACTCCAGGTATCAACATATCTCCATAGCTGGAGGTAACTCCAGGTATCAAATTGTATCCATAGTTCTAGGTAACTCCAGATTTGGAGATATGTTGATAAATGAGACATTTCTGCAACATTTGACTATCTTTACTCTGGAAACATTTCGCCAGCCAGTGGCTTCTTCAGTCTAATACAGAGAAAGTTGGAAGACAAGGAGGAGTTTGAGGGACTCAGTCCCTCAGCCTGGTGTCAATGTGTTCAGTATATCAATCTTGACGAAAGTCAAGAATCAAGATTAATGGACTGAGCACATCCATTCCAGGCTGAGGGACTGACTACCTAAAACTCCTCCTTATCTTCCACCTTTCTCTGCAATGGACTGAAGAAGCCACTGGCTGGCGAAACGTTTCCAAAATAATTTACCTAAATGTTGCACAAGTGTCTCAATTATCAACATATCTCCATAGCTGGAGTTACCTCCGTCACCAGGCATTCCCTGACCATGACAACACCGGAGTTACCTCCGTCACCAGGCATTCCCTGACCATGACAACACCGGAGTTACCTCCGTCACCAGGCATTCCCTGACCATGACAACACTGGAGTTACCTCCGTCACCAGGCATTCCCTGACCATGACAACACCGGAGTTACCTCCGTCACCAGGCATTCCCTGACCATGACAACACTGGAGTTACCTCCGTCACCAGGCATTCCCTGACCATGACAACACCGGAGTTACCTCCGTCACCAGGCATTCCCTGACCATGACAACACTGGAGTTACCTCCGTCACCAGGCATTCCCTGACCAAGACAACACTGGAGTTACCTCCGTCACCAGGCATTCCCTGACCATGACAACACCGGAGTTACCTCCGTCACCAGGCATTCCCTGACCATGACAACACTGGAATTACTTCCGTCACCAGGCATTCCCTGACCAAGACAACACTAGAGTTACCTCCGTCACTAGGCATTCCCTGACCAAGACAGCACTGGAGTTACCTCCGTCACCAGGTATTCCCTGACCAAGACAACACTGGAGTTACCTCCGTCACCAGGCATTCCCTGACCAAGACAACACTGGAGTTACCTCCGTCACCAGGCATTCCCTGACCAAGACAACACTGGAGTTACCTCCGTCACCAGGCATTCCCTGACCATGACAACACTGGAGTTACCTCCGTCACCAGGCATTCCCTAACCAAGACAACACCGGAGTTACCTCCGTCACCAGGCATTCCCTAACCAAGACAACACCGGAGTTACCTCCGTCACCAGGCATTCCCTAACCAAGACAACACCGGAGTTACCTCCGTCACCAGGCATTCCCTGACCATGACAACACTGGAGTTACCTCCGTCACCAGGCATTCCCTGACCAAGACAACACCGGAGTTACCTCCCTCACCAGGCATTCCCTGACCATGACAACACCGGAGTTACCTCCGTCACCAGGCATTCCCTGACCAAGACAACACCGGAGTTACCTCCGACACTGGGCATTCCCTGACCAAAACAACACTGGAGTTACCTCCGTCACCAGGCAATCCCTGAACATGACAACACTGGAGTTACCTCCGTCACCAGGCATTCCCTGACCATGACAACACTGGAGTTACCTCCGTCACCAGGCATTCCCTGACCATGACAACACTGGAGTTACCTTCGTCACCAGGCATTCCCTGACCAAGACAACACTGGAGTTACCTCCGTCACCAGGCATTCCCTGACCAAGACAACACTGGAGTTACCTCCGTCACCAGGCATTCCCTGACCATGACAATACTGGAGTTACCTCCGTCACCAGGCATTCCCTGACCATGACAACACTAGAGTTACCTCCGTCACCAGGCATTCCCTGACCAAGACAACACCGGAGTTACCTCCGTCACCAGGCATTCCCTGACCAAGACAACACTAGAGTTACCTCCGTCACCAGGCATTCCCTGACCATGACAATACTGGAGTTACCTCCGTCACCAGGCATTCCCTGACCATGACAACACTGGAGTTACCTCCGTCACCAGGCATTCCCTGACCATGACAACGCTGGAGTTACCTCCGTCACCAGGCATTCCCTGACCATGACAACACTGGAGTTACCTCCGTCACCAGGCATTCCCTGACTATGACAACACTGGAGTTACCTCCGTCACCAGGCATTCCCTGACCATGACAACGCTGGAGTTACCTCCGTCACCAGGCATTCCCTGACCATGACAACACTGGAGTTACCTCCGTCACCAGGCATTCCCTGACCATGACAACACTGGAGTTACCTCCGTCACCAGGCATTCCCTGACTATGACAACACTGGAGTTACCTCCGTCACCAGGCATTCCCTGACCATGACAACGCTGGAGTTACCTCCGTCACCAGGCATTCCCTGACCATGACAACACTGGAGTTACCTCCGTCACCAGGCATTCCCTGACCATGACAACACTGGAGTTACCTCCGTCACCAGGCATTCCCTGACCAGACAACACTGGAGTTACCTCCGTCACCAGGCATTCCCTGACCATGACAACACTGGAGTTACCTCCGTCACCAGGCATTCCCTGACCATGACAACACTGGAGTTACCTCCGTCACCAGGCATTCCCTGACCAAGACAACACTGGAGTTACCTCCGTCACCAGGCATTCCCTGACCATGACAACACTGGAGTTACCTCCGTCACCAGGCATTCCTGACCATGACAACACTGGAGTTACCTCCGTCACCAGGCATTCCCTGACCATGACAACACTGGAGTTACCTCCGTCACCAGGCATTCCCTGACCATGACAACACTGGAGTTACCTCCGTCACCAGGCATTCCCTGACCAAGACAACACTGGAGTTACCTCCGTCACCAGGCATTCCCTGACTATGACAACACCAAAGTTTATAATATCAGAGAAAATATGGCGAAACATAGCTATGGGAAATAACTAAAAAATAAGAATGAAAAGAGAGATAATGTGAAGATTTAAACGTGGAAAGTAACAAATAGAAAGACTCTGATTAGAAACAGCACAAACACTATGATAAAAACAAGTGACACATGAGAGAACGTTAAGTGAAGCAATGAAACACAAGTAAACACGAGTATAACAATGGGAATATGAGTGAACAAGAGTGAAACAAAGGGAACAAGTGGGAAGAGGAGAGGCCACAAGTGACCACCAGAGTGACACGTGTTGTAAGAGTGGTCATACAGCAGGTGTTATAAGAGTGGTAATACCACAGGTGTTATAAGAGTGGTCATAACTCAGGTGTTATAAGAGTGGTCATACTGCAGGTGTTATAAGTGGTAATACCACAGGTGTTATAAGAGTGGTCATAACTCAGGTGTTATAAGAGTGGTCATACCGCAGGTGTTATAAGAGTGGTAATACCGTAGGTGTTATAAGAGTGGTCATAACTCAGGTGTTATAAGAGTGGTCATACCGCAGGTGTTATAAGAGTGGTAATACCGCAGGTGTTATAATAGTGGTCATAACTCAGGTGTTATAAGAGTGGTCATAACTCAGATGTTATAAGAGTGGTCATAACTTATGTGTTATAAGAGTGGTCATAACACTGGAGAGTGACAGTTGTTATAAATGTGGTCATAACGCACGTGT